GCAACGTTTTTCGTTTCGTGACAATAACAGCTAGACTTCAGTTTTTATTTTCAGCGGAGTTCCCCATGGCCGCTGGAGGATAAGGAAGTCAAGATGGCGGTCGAATCTGTGAAGATAGAAGCGGATGCATATATGGTCTGTTTAACGCATGCATTGACTACTGAAAGAGAAGAAGTCATGGGCCTGTTAATTGGAGAGGTATATTGTTGTTATTACGTTACATTTTTAGGGCTTGCTACCGTAAAAGAAAAACCAAAAAAAGATAAATAAAAGCCATTTTCTTCGACTAAACCGAAAGAATTGTTGCCTCTGACGGGCATGATAATTATACGATTTGACCGTATTATGATCAGCCGCTCTTATGTGATGTGTTGTAAAAAGAAAAGTTGGGAGCTATAAGAGCCTAAAAGATATATTTGTCGTAAAAGTTTGGCAATCCTGCAAGGAACAAGAGTTACTTTCACCCTAAACTTATTAATCGCAATTCTCGCCCATGTAACTAAGCTAATATGTTTTCTATCGTTTGATGTACTTGTGCAAAGTTATTAATTATGCTTTCATCCCATTGCNTCTTCGAATAAACCGAAAGAATTGTTGACTCTAACGGGCATGATAATTATACGATTTGACCGTATTATGATCAGCCGTTCTTATGTGATGTGTTGTAAAAAGAAAAGTTGGAAGCTATAATAGCCTAAAAGATATATTTGTCGTAAAAGTTTGGCAATCCTGCAAGGAACAAGAGTTAGTTACACCCTAAACTTATTAATCGCAATTCTCGCCCATGTAGCTAAGCTAATATGTTTTCTATCGTTTGATGTACTTGTGCAAAGTTATTAATTATGCTTTCATCCCATTGCATGTAGGAATCTACATTGATCTCCACATCTTTATACAGTATAGTTGAGCACTATTTTAATCCTGTTTAGAAATTGAACTCAATCGAACACAATCAAACTCCACGGATTGAGTTTGATTGGGTTCGACATATTGAAGGAAATCAAACATCAACCTTTGTGTGAATTCGATTTCCGAATCAAGCAGATCGGACCCAATCGTATTTGATCTATCAGAGTGTGTTCAAATGAGGTCAGCAACCAAACTCTCTGGAACATAATCCAATGGATTGTGTTTCATTGTGTTCGGTGAGTGAATGCACTTGAACAAAGATCATGTTATGTGGTCTCGAAAACATGAAAAACATGTGTTATACCAAAGTAACTTGAGCCTCCAAAAACTTGTTATTGATTTTCAACACCAGTTTTACAAAA